CGGGTTTCTTTTTTTTTTTTTTTTTTTTTTTACACAATGCTGTCAATTGCAGAGATCCAACTCTTCTAATATATTATTAGCAAGCTAGTAAGGCCGGATAACCTAACCTGACTGTTAGAATACAGCTGTTGCCGAGGTCAGCACACTGTATACAGCGTGGATGTATATGGATTGCTCTACAATTGGATAAAGTTCATTTTAGTTCATAAACTCTAACGCTGAATGTCTGCTCCCTCAGTCCAGGGGAAAACACACATGGGAAAGCTGATCAGTCCAACCAGTGTGATTAACAATCCCATTGATTCATTTGGAGGGGAGGCCAGCAGCCAACATGCTGCTGCTGTGGGAGAGCCAGTTAGTGCAGGTCATGTGAACAGCACAGAGGTAGCCTACTACAGTATTACTATATTTAATAATAATAATAAAAAAAAAAAGCAATTATGAAAGCATGACACCAACCCCCCCACAAGCCGTCTAATTCTGTGGGAAACACTGTTTGCTATTTATTTTCACAGTAATTTGTTTATTTAAGTTTCGAACGCTGGCAGCATTGGTAGACTTTTAATGTGAAAGAGGTGCAGTTTCACAGTAAAAGCTGTGATTAAATAATCTAAATCTACAAGACAATTAAAAGGACATGGGTATTGTAGTATGGTAAACCCTGACATTTGAGACATGATCAGTAATCAGTAATTAAAGGGACAGAAGGAGTGGACAGATTTTGTCCACTCCTTCTGTGAAAGTCAATTCAGAAAAAGTGAAGCAGTATATCCAACAAAAAGTCCACCAATACCATTAGTGTTACAAAGGGGTTAGGCACAGCAGGTATTGTGCACTGTTTCGGTGTCACCGTTTCTAAAAATGCAGTGCTTGATAGCAAATTTCATCAAAACAGCTGAAGTGCAAATTGTCTCACCTTCTCTCAGCACGTTCCTTCTTTTTCAAAGCTGCATCCAGGTTTTGGAGCTGCTCTTCTAGTTTGTCACAGAGCTGCTTCTACAGAGGTAAAAAATACAAAATTAAAGGTCATGCTGGTGTTTTACTTTTTTCAAACCTTTGTTTTTTGGTACGTACATGTTGACAGGGCGGACAGAACCATTCTCCATCAGGGATGATCATGAGTGGAGGCCTCAGACAAGCTGTGTGGTAGCCGCTGTCGCACGAATCACACAGTAAGATCTACAAAGAAGAGGTGGGTAGATGTTAAAAATTTAATAGAGATGCAAAGTCAGAGGAGCTGCCAATTAGGAAGTACACTACCAGTCAAAGGTTTGACACACTTTCCCACTAAACTGATTGGGATGGTGTGTCCTTTGATCTTTGGATTGGTAGGGTCTTTTTCTCCACTTGGATCCCATTTCTAAATGTTATCCTCTTGTTTTTGTTTCTGCTGGTATATATATTAACACTAATCAGGCTGTTCAAATTTCACTTTCACAATCTGTAATGAGCCAGGGGAAAAAAATGAAATCAATAAATCCATAGGCTACATAAAACGTGACTTTTTTCCCCCCAATGATCTTACTATCTTTGTGTTGGTCGGCCTGGTAAAGACTTTCTCCGGCCGCTGTTCTGCTGACAGAAAGACAGCTGCTCAAACACACTGCTCACGTCTCACTTTCAGTGTGTTCTCCCAGTCTGTGTCACTGTGTGCGTGACATGGACTGTGGCACCTCCAAATCTGATTGGAAATCTCAGAGTGATTGGCCGGTCACCAGTCAAGGCCGATCACTCTGAAAACCAGCCACTTCCGATTTCCGACAATTGATTGGTGCATCTCTAATAGAAAGCACATCAGTCAATATCCTGGTTAATGATACAAATGTAAATACTTAATTATTTCAGCTTTATGAGAAATCATGGTTTTTGCATCACTTTGGTAAGACTGATGGTTCAAAATACTACATACAATACCCATGAGCCGTGTAACCCAAAATGTTGTTGAGGTCCTGCAAGTACCCACCAGCTCAGGGTGATTAGGGAGACCACAATGTTTGCAGGGGTCATCATTTGGAGGTAGGTCTTCATCTGAAGATGTAGAGGAGTCCGAGTTTCGTCTTTCTCTGTTTCGATTCCGCCTCTTTCTACTATGTTCAACCTTGTAGTCTTCATCGCTATCATCCTCTTCCTCACTCTCCTCCTCTTCACTGGACTCCTCGTTGCTGTCGTCATCTTCATCGGAACCTTTCTTTTTACGGCGCGTTCGAGTGCTGGTCCACCGAATCTTCCGTCTCTTTCTCCCCTTAAACAAGCACAGCAGAGCAGAATTGTTTAATGACTTATCAGCGTTTAGCTCAGTGAATCCCAAGTACTTTCTTAACTTCAAGTGCTTTTTTTGAACCTTTCATAGGCCTGTTAGCATCAGCTCATCTTTGGCCATTACCGACCTGATGGAGGACATAACAAGTGCTATGGATGAGAAGAAATACACAATGGGAATATTTATTGACCTAAAAAAGCATGACACAATCAATCATGAGTTATTCATGGATAAGTTAGAAAAATATGGGATCAGAGGAATGGTTCTGAATTGGATTAGAAGTTATTTGACACAGAGGCGTCAATTTGTGAAGTTGGGTGAATACCAATCGAGTGAGCTGGACATTGTATGTGGAGTGCCTCAGGGTTCTGTTTTGGGACCTAAATTATTTATACTATATATTAATGATATATGTAAGGTTTCTGATTTAGTGAAAGTGGTTTTATTTGCTGATGACACTACCATATGGGCATCGGGTGAAAACCTACAGCAACTCTCTGGACGGGTTACACAGGAACTTGAGAAGATAAAGAAATGGTGTGATAGTAATATACTATCTCTGAATTTGGATAAAACTAAATTTATGGTATTTGGGAATCGTAGACTAGATAATGAACTTCAATTGAAAATTGGGGGAGCTAATATAGAACGAGTACATGAAATTAAATTTCTAGGTGTCATACTTGATGACAAATTCTCCTGGAAATCGCATATCAGATATGTTCAGAATAAAATAGCAAAAAATATATCGATATTGGCAAGGGT